CGATCTCTAATCACTGTACCCTTTAAAACACATTTTTGCGTTATAATTTAAAAGTGAGTGTTATCTATGAGGCTGCTGACAGAAAAGGGAATTGAGTTTTTATGCTTATTTTGAAAAGTTGACTTCCTAAGTCTGCTGTGGTGGTTCGTCATCCAGACAGACTCTGATCTGTACTTTGAAAGTAAAATAGTACCTGACCATTTGAGGACTATACTCCATAGGGAGTAGTTGTTGGGGCCTGCTCTTAACAGTATGTTCTGATCTCTTCATTTCCTGGGAGAATCTTGGCAATCGTTTTCTGTTGCTGCCATGCAGCATTGTTTGCTGCTGCTGCCTAGCTCTTTATTCGGTGTCTACTTCATAAACAGAATATGTGGCACTAAGGATTCCTCTCCACTCATAGTGCAAGAGAATTAAAGTTCCTCTGAGATGTTTCAGTTCAAACCCAGAAAAAGGGTCTGAATTAATGTGAACACAATCTGTTTCTGGTTTTCAACACAGCAAACTGAAAGGGTTTGGCCAGAGAAAACTGACTGAACCTATAGAGTGATATCATTACAAGACGGCTTTGCAGCCTATCAGCACTTTTTCATTGCTCTATGTAGGAAGAAGGATATAGGAAATAGTAAGCTAAACTTAGTGAACCATAGAGAGGAAAAAGATGGGATATATTTTTATTAATTGATCTTGTTATAATACTACTACAGTTTTCTGCTGTGCTTTGATACCGTACAGCTTCTGGGGTATGCCCTTTTCATTTTAGGGTTGGACTGCCAGTTCTTTCCAGTTACCATAGTAGAATACTGATAGCAAAGCAGCAGCTGTCTGCACATTCAGTCATAACCTGAGTGATTTTATTACTGAACTACAAGAATAGAGAAGGGGGTAGCAGCTCGTTCTCCAGCCATGTTTTTTAAGAAAGCTATAGCCACCACTACATTTTGTAGGGAGCCTGCCCCTGAGAGTGTGTGTTAAGTATGCTCTGAAAATACTGTCTGGAATGAGTCCCCTCAGTTGACTTAGAGGAACAATTAGCTTCTCAATCCTGAATGAGTGAGGCACCAAACTACTTGGGACTGCCAAAACTGTGACACTGCCATATATGGCCAGAAGTAAAACTTTTGGGCATCTAGGGAATTTTATGGTCACAAAGTGAACTAGTTATGGAGTTTAAGTTCCTCCAGAGTTAGACAGCAGCTGAACAGAGGTTTCCAGGATCTCAGCTTTGGACTTAGGATACTAAATTCCACTTAAGTCATGATGTAGGCACCTAATTTATTTTTTGTATCTGGCCCTTGACCTCATTTCTTTTTTGTATCTGATTCTTGATTTTCACAGTTCACTTTTATGGAAGGCAACTGTTGACCAAGCTAGATGCAGTGAGTGAGGAGAACAGAGGGCTGAGTTAAAGGAGATAGAAGCAGGAAGAGAAACTCTCACTGTACAAGCCAAGGAGCAAAGGAGCTATGAGACTGCTCTGGAGCTTTACCTCAGCTTTACCAGTAAAGAGTTTCTGCACTCTTTTCATGCTGTCTTTAGTCTATGTGTAGGTTTCCCAGGAGAAAGAGGTCCTTCCAGCTGAGACAGAAAATAAGTCTTTTTGTTATTTCCAATCTATCGTAAATGATAGTCCATGCTTCTGTATATTGGGGTAGGCCTGATGTTGTGTAAATCTGTGTATTTACATTGATTTAAATGGAACCACACAAAATTAAAAACCTGATCTGTACTCAGGCGGTGAGTTTAGTTGTAAACATAATAGGCCAAATTCTGCTCCCAGCTACACACCCTGCTTATTCCAACAAGCAGAAAATGAATCTGGACCAGTATGTATAAAATACAATGTTTTGTGTGATAAGCCATATATGATGATGGTATGGTTGATATTCATACTCCATCTCCATATTTGATGTGCATAGTTCAGTGTTTCTGGGGTTTGTAGCAATGTAGTAAAATCAAGTATATGTGTAATAAATCCTGGAATGCATAGGAATTCAGTTGTTGTTCTGTGGGATTCTGTTTAGCTGCTCAAAGATGTCTTGCTACAGCTGAAAAAAAATATTGAATTGGGTTTAAATTTCCATGGGTGTATCCACACATACAAGCACATGTGCTTGCAGCAGCTCAAATAGAAGCAGTGTAAGTCTGAGTTGGGGCTTTTTGCCACAGCATACGTTCCCAGACATGCACTTTGGTGTGGGGCAAAATAACCCTGCCTGGCTCCTCCTGGATCTGCAGCCAGGGGGAGCTAGAGCCCGGGGCCAGCACCTGTGCTGTTCCCAGCAGTAAAAAAAGCTTCCCTGTCCTGGCCCCAGCAGTACAAAAAGCTGCCCTGTCAAGTGGCTCAGGGCTACTCGCTCTCAGGAGCTTCTGGACCCCAGCCAGTTGGTACCTGGGGACACTACCCCTTGTGCCAGCTGGACTGCTGCAGCAGCCCTGAGAGTTCCCTGTACCCTTTACCCACTGCAGCAGTCTGGCAGTGGGAGCTGCTGCCTGGCTGTGGCCCGAAGCCGTTGCAAAACCCCCCGGTTTTTTTTTTA